CTAAATACTAACTTCATTATGTAATGACCTGCTTGAAATTTCACAAAATCTACCATGTAATTATTCTATACTCTCGTTACAGTTTTAGTTACTTTGATTAATTATCACCCGACTGGTACTTTGTGAGATTGTTAGCGTATTATACAACCGTTATTACTACTAGAATGGCATGTAATCTTGTATATTGAGAATGCTATATATATATATACAAGTGTAGAGCTGTTGACGAGGTACATCGTTTTCTTTTCTAAACAGCAATTTCCACAATACTGAATAGGTTGATTTGATTAGTGTTCGATGTGACGCCAGTTCATGAATTCGTTGATCATTGATTTGTGCTGTGTAGGTGACTGTTTACTCCACCTGACTTGGTTGGGTCTTCAAGATCATAGGAAATAATTGTGAGAGATTCTTGCTGATATGACTGAGAATCGGTGCAAAAGGGAGGGAGCTATTGGATTGAGTTTTTCTCTTGTTCTATGTGTTGAATATTTTTGGTTGATTTACTTGTATTCATTTTGTGAACTCTATGTGATTCATTTTTGTTTACATTGATATAACATTTTGTATTCACGTACTGTATACTTACTGTTGTGGTATGTCACAACGTGGACCAATATACTTCTGTGTTCTGCTCCATATTTCTTTATTTGTCTGTGTGAAAACAAGTGAGGATTTTTAGTTTTAATGTATACTAATTTAATAATTTGGCTTCTCTTTTGTTAAGGATTTCATTTCAATACTATTCTTGCATTTAACTCTATATTGAACATTGAATGTACACTTTATAATGACTTTTAAACAATCTACTGGCGGTTTTATGTTTCAAAATTTATAAAATATTAATATATCATCTCCAACTTGAAACCTTTTAACCAATTGCAAACAATGTGATGTACAAGAATTTGTAAAGGAATGAAATTTCAATAAAATAAGACTTTATAAATTCTGCAGTAATTAAGAAAAAAGTTGAATATATTTCTTGTGAATAGTATTTTTCTACTTTACGCATATTTATGTGTAGGAATGTAATCTTGGAATCATAAGTCAACCATCTTGGATATTTGTTGTATAATCTTCACAGAATACAAACACACACACAACTTTTAGTTTTTTCATATTTTGTCTATTAAAAAACCAGATTTTTCTTTTAATCTCAAGGTTATTAGCACATGATTTTCATCATAATTTAAATATATGTATCGGTTACGAGGTAGGTAGCGATTAAAATCTTGTATTGTTTATCTACTGCTTACTACTTACCTTTTTGTGTGTTAGTGTGTTTCTTGTGATAATCAATTACAATATGCAAGTGACTAGAGTACAAATATTCATATCCTTAAGTGTTTCTGCAATGCTGATGAATTTCGTATCCGTTCAAAATTTGAATTCTTTCAATTTCAGGCAATTGACCTATCAACTGACTACTAACATGTTGCGCAGCACACTGTAGTAAAGTTGCTATATCACCGCCTACCACCTTGAAGTAGCATGCTAGTAGGAGAATTTCGATTAGGTTGGAAAAGGGTTCAGCATCACATGACAAATAGGTGACATGAGTCGATGAAGTCCCTGACTGTTAGTCTGAGTCATGTGGGGAGATGTAGACTGCCTAGTTGAAGACTCTTGATGATATGATGCTGATGTATTCACTCCTTGACATCTTGTAAAGCTCGAATAATCACACTAACCTCTATCTTCAGATAGTTTATTCTTTCACACGATTTCGTCTACTTTGATATCAACCTTTTTTATTCACCTGTTCTCTGTGTACTTGTATGAAGTGTAGCATCTTGAACCAACGCCCTCCTGTGTGAAGTTCCACTTCGATTTTGTCAGTCAGTCAGTTTAGTAAGCCCAATGTAGGCTTCATAGTTAGATTGCGGCCAAAATTTGACACTCAGCAACTAAATGAGTTATCATCATACGAAAAATTCTTGTACACCACAATGAGGTAGTTTATGTTCTTAGTCTGTGTGACTAAAACTCCCAATAAGTATTCACTAAAGTGATGTACATAAAATTTTATACTAGTGACACAAGTCGTACCAAAGTCCTCCTTCCTTATAATCAATGGTCATTGTACGAAGTTTTATACTTAGAAATGGATAGACTGAATGTCTAGAGATGTCGTCACGTCAGAATGACCGTGATCGAGTTGGCCCCATTGGAACTGTAAGAGCACAAGTCAGCGGCTTCGTTCTAGTATGGGACTCTTCAGCAGTTGGCATGCATGACGAGGCCTTCAGATTTCACGGCGAATGCGTTGAGCATTCAGCCAGTAGGTCGGATTTCAGTGGTTCACACGAATATCCACGAATGTCTTCATTTGGCATCTGCTTCCCTCCCGACTGGTTAACCCCATAGGTCACGACTTCGGAATATCCATTTGGAAGTATGAATGATGACCGTATCTTAAAAAAAGGTAAATAGTCCAAATTTCGTAATATCGTACTGGGCGATGCTGATAGAATGGATATAACTGGTATATGTTGACAGAGTAGCAGAAATCATGGGCAATTACCAGTAATGGGTAAGGACTCTGCCCAGAGAAATGCATAGGACAACGTGGGTGTATTCAGAGCAAATCAAGAGAGAAGCAGAAGAGGAAATGAAGCATATTTTGTAAGGTGTACCATATTTAACGACTACTGTACCATATGTTAATAATCACTATTCCTTCCTTCAGCTCTGTCTTCTCGTTCCCTTCAGTATTAGACTGCCTGTCGGCTTTAAATTTATAGCTAAGAAGGTAGTTTTACTTTAGACTAACTGTTCATTTGTGAATACTGATGTTAATGTGCGTTGTATAAATTGTCGTCTTCCAGATGTCAAAGAATGATTATGATATGCCGTACAACTTTTATTGTTTACGAAACTCTCAGTGTTTTGTTAGTCTTTGTTTGTTCACTTATGCACACTCTGCTGCTATATCTCTCTTTGTATATTACTAAATCATTCCACGTATGATCATTTCTTAATTTCTTGATGTTCTGAAGCATGCCGATTTGAACTATACAATCTATAATGCTTATTTATCTTCGTGACTATCTGAGATAATCATGGTTTAACAGACTTGCGATTTTTATACTTATGGTGATAGTTGAAGGTGAAATGAAAGTATAGGCTGTGGCTTTGGGTCTGTCATTGTTTCAAATCCTGTCGTGACGGAGATTTTCATTTCATATTCAATCATCACTCACCAGCAGCAATAAGAGTCTGCTAAGCCGTGGATATCTCGAATAGTCACATTGATGATCAGTATCATGCTCCTTACCCTCACTAAGTAAGCTCGATTTGGAGTAGAATATGCTATATATATATATATATATATATATATATATATATATATATACAAGTGTAGAGCTGTTGACGAGGCACATCGTTTTCTTTTCTAAACAGCAATTTCCACAATACTGAAAAGGTTGATTTCATTAGTGCTCGATGTGACGCCAGTTCATGAATTCGTTGATCATTGATTTGTGCTGTGTAGGTGACTGTTTACTCCACCTGACTTGGTTGGGTCTTCAAGATCATAGGAAATAATTGTGAGAGATTCTTGCTGATATGACTGAGAATCGGTGCAAAAGGGAGGGAGCTATTGGATTGAGTTTTTCTCTTGTTCTATGTGTTGAATATTTTTGGTTGATTTACTTGTATTCATTTTGTGAACTCTATGTGATTCATTTTTGTTAACATTGATATAACATTTTGTATTCACGTACTGTTTACTTACTTGAACTATACAACCTACTCTGTCAGTTTTATTGTTCTTCAGATAATTTGATTTCTAGAGACGCTTATAATCCCAGTGTAGCTAACTAACAGATTATGCCCCGTGATTGATTTGATACAACTCACATCATGTAGTATCACTTACGTAGGACACTTAACCACTTTTCTCTCCTCCAACCTGCCAATCATTATTGCTGCATGAACAGTTAGTGAAATTTTTATGTCTGAATATAGTGATGAGATGAACTGTAAGAGTAAACTGTTGAATCAGATAAGAAGTGGAGTTTAAATAAGACTTTCATTGTTTTAACAAACGGTCGTAGACTTTATATATCGTCGGCATTTCTAAGTGTAGCCATGGTGGGTTCTGCTTTGCATTGATTAGTGACTAGAGGGTAACCAACTGATGTACCTTACTTAGTCCTACAGGAGGCCAATCGTGCCCTAAATACCTTAATGACAATGTCGTTGACTAGAACATTGCGTGAGGTGGGTTCAAATCTCAGAAGGGATATCAATTCCATTGAGATTACAGATATGACTTACTGATGTGTGTCGACAGCCACGAAACTTCCTTTCTGTCGGACAGTATTATAAGCCTAGTTATCTAAGTTTTAACTGCTCTAGTACTGCAAATTCAAAGTGTTTAAAAGGAGTAATCAACAGAAATTCATTATGCTAGATCTTCTTTACTTTAGTATTCAACAGAATGAGCCTAAGAATATCCATAGCCTCATGCAACTGTAAATACGTGTGGACATGAGTCATTTAATTTTGTTGTATGTAACTGTTAGACAATAGTAAACGGTTGAATTGAAGTGACGCTCACCTTCCAAAGAATCTTCACACACAGCAAAATCTTAAACAAGTTCAATTGCTTCCTGTATGCTCTAATTTTCACTGCTTTTCATCAGGTGAATACAGTATAAAGTTACAGGGAGTTCGTATCATTAACATGATAAATGATACAATTTCAATCGTGTCAGAACTGAGAATAAAGTAAGGTTTGAAGTAGAATGATCAATTCATGAGGTACTGAGAACACACTGAATTTTAAGTACTTAACAAAGCCAATGATATTTTACATATGATCAAAAAGAATTTGATTTTAGTCGAAAATGACAATGTTATTTCAAATGTTCCATTGAACATTTAACACTTTGTAGCGGTTTCTTTAAAAAGCATTTTCATATTCATTCATTAATATTTCTTTATTGTAACTTTATTTTTCTTTTCTTTTCAACTTCTTTTTTCTTCTTCTGTAGTTAATAGAGAATTTGTTGTACATAGTTTAGCTGAAAAACGTTTACAAGCTAGAGTTGGTGATTATTATGAATGTCTTTCAGAGACTGAAATTATTTTCGATACTGAAAATACTACTTTATTCGAGAAGAATAATGGATTATCAAGTAGTAATTACAAGCAATCAGATAATGATAAATTGAGAATTATTATGAGTTTGAAAAGTGTAAAATCTCAAGCATTCGCTGATGTCAATGTACCAGAATTCACTGGAGCTAGTAAGTTGTTGTAGTATTCATTATGTGAAGTAATTTTTTCCGACTGATTTACTGTTCAATTGTTTGATAATTCTGTGTGTTTTTCTCCAGGAATTTATGCATAAGATTTATCAGACTTAGCGTTAACACCATGTAAATAATTTATTGATGCTTTTTGTTTACATAAAAACGATAATTGCTTCGGTAGCTTGAATACGTTCCTTGTATACTGTGTAACATTTGTTAATGATACAATTGGCTGAAAGAATCGGAGAGATGGTTACTGTGTAGCATAGTTGTGTTGGATAAAAGTGTTAGTATTAACATCTGTTGGTGCATCACATTTTATTGGTTAAGTTATGATGCCTTTTGATATGAGGAGAAATACTCAGCCATGGCACTGGATGGAGGTTACAGTATATCGTGAGCTGATAATCATTTGATTTCCTTTCACTACTTTCAACCTATTTTCCAGCTTATAAAGCCTCTTACTGACAATCATAGCTGTGAAAAGAAATATAGGTGGGCCTCGTAGAACAACTGAAACCGACAGTAGGTTTTATACACTGCATTCCTGTTCCTTCCGAACCTTTGCTTCATTAGGTGGATTGGTGTTAAATGTCGATGGATTAGAATGCTTTAGGGATGCAAAAATTGGAGTTATCGGCCAGCTAAATTGCTGTTCAATACACTCTACCCAACGTTTCAGGCACCTTCGGAAGTCATTAATCAGTATGTCATCTACTTCACAAACTGCCTGACTGACAGCAAGCTTCTTGCTCCAGGTGGTTTGGATGAGTCAGAACAGCTTCCAAGTTCATTCAGAGGTAGTTACTGGTTCTATCTCACTGGTGTCTTTATTATACAGTTCAGTGCTTCTGATATCATTGCTGCATGGTCTGTTACATATGCGACTTAAACATACCATTCTGCTGGCTTTTTGACTAGACAGAACAATGAACTTCGAGAAATTACAAGGAGCTCACTGAATGGGATGTTTCTGGACAGTTTGACCACAGGACATAGAATCGATCTCAGTGGTGTCGATTTTGTTTTCATTTTAATCCTTATATCAAATTTCATGAACTGTTGTCACCCCTTTTCTTCTTATCGTTAGAATTTTGATGACATTTGTTTAAATTGTTTCTCATTTTTACATTTTTCGTCTTATTACTTCCTACTTTTAATTACTGATCTGAGGTGTGAAGACTGGAACCGTCAGAAAGTAATGCCAGACTATATACATGTTAATTATATCCACCGGTCTTACATATTTAGAGTTCGTACGTTTCTCTATACGCTATATCTATTGCAATTCGTTCACTGCTTAGACTTTATTCAACCCAGTTAAACATGGACAGAAAAAGTACTTCTAAAAGTCTAGTAAACCATGTGATTGACTAATGAAATAAAAGATTTGGTTTTAGGAATTATCCTTGTGCGAACGGCATACTCAGAGGCCAATCCCTAGTAATTTCTACTTCTGATACATCCACGAATACGAGACCAAGGAAGAATACAAAATATCATAAACAAATGGAACAGTATTTTGGAGAAATCTTGTCAAAATACCAATGCGTTCTGACCAGCTGGCTAGAGGGTTGATTACGAGCAGTGCAACGTAACACGACAGAGTGCCAAATGGCCTGCATACTTGACCGTGTGCCCTCAGCTTAGCGAGTTTCATAAGACTACGAAGGTCAACATCAATTTTGAATCTCGTCGAACCCTAGGTTACTGATTCTGGGGAAGTATGTGGCGTTACAAGACAGAAAAAAGTGCTTATCACTTCATGCCAGTTATCAATTGTCTACAACTTTTATTTCAGGAAACTATTAAGTTTAGGTTTGACTTTTATATAATTTCGTTATTCATAGAGTTGTAACCTTAGCGTATTCAAAGTATTATTTTGTTTCCTCGGTACCGAGTGAAAAAGTCGAAGCCGCTGAGTGACAACCTCTCTTTTTCACTTGCCGGTACAAACACGACTGATTTTCAAATAATTAAACATTTGACGGAGTTTAGATTGTTTACAGCAGCTGACTGTACACCATTTCTAGGTCATATCAGGATAAATTAACAACCATATTATGTCATATGACGTTTTAAACAAGTCAAAATTTTATACATTGAAAATGGAATTCATTCACTTCTTTTGTAAACTTTAGTAGAACTCATCAAGTGAATATTTTCCATTCATAATAATTTGTATAAAACTTCTAGGACAGCGATCGCTAGTTGGAGTTGGAGAAATGCTTTGGTTGTGAAACAGCTTGCATCGAAATAAGTGAAATGTACCTGAAAATCACACTGAAACATTTCATCCAATCTTTGTAGATGAGATAAACAGTGAAGAAACATCTGCTCACTATTAGTTTACCGTTGGCAGATAGAAAACGGACGAAATTATGTTGATAATGGAATTATTAATCTATTTGTTACTATATTATTATTATTATTTGTCGTTTGGGCTCCTTGTGGAACATAGGACTTCAGTAGCACGTCTCCATTGCACTCCCTTCTCTGAAGTCTTCTCAGTCTGGCTCCACCACTGCCCACATGCCTTCATTTCTTCCTCACACAATCTCCTTACTGTCACCCTTGCTTCGGACGCCCAACTCTTCCTTTCCTATTTGGGTTCCCCTCGGTGACATGGCCTGGTGCGTGATATCCCCAAACGGTCTTCTTAGTGTATGCCCTATCCATCTCTACTTTCTTCTGCATATTTGTCGGGTAATGGGTTCTTGGTTGGTTCGTTGCCAGTCAACCAGAGTTCCTTGTTGTTTATTCTTTCCGGTCACCTGATCTTCAGCACCGATTTGTTGAATTAAGATAACTGTCAGAAAGCTCTGCTCTACCTAAGTTTCGTGGTTGTTGACACACATCACTGAGGGAAATCTACAACCTTGATGGAACACACCTCATCTGGGACCCTGTCCAAAGTTACCTAGTGTTGCAGTGGGAGATGTTAACATTGAGTTATTTAGTCCTGTAGAAGATCAGTCTCAAACGAGACACCACTTTCTTTGAGATACGCCATGCTGAAGAGTGATATTCCTGATTGTAGTGGACTGGATGACGCAACAAACAGTGAGGAGCGAGAAGAGGGGGATAAGCTGACTGGACCGATGAAAAGAACCTAAAAGATTTGGATTTCGCCGATGACGTGTGTCTAATATCACACAAGCTCGAAGATCTACAGGCGAAAACTAACAAGTTGACAGAGGAGGCTGGTCAGCGAAGATGGGACTTCCTTCAGGTGAACGTAGAGAAGACAGAGGTGATGAAGATACTCAACAAACAACAACATCGAGAACAACAATAAGCTCCAATCACCATTAACGGGAGAAACTTAAAGAAAGTAGCTTCTTTCACCTGCCTTCGTAGGTAGCACTGTTTCAACTACAGGCGGCACAGACAAGGACGTCAAATCCAGGATCGGAAAGACACCAAGACAGCTGCTCATTAGCCTAAAATCAGTGTGGAGATATTCTGCACTCAGCATAAAGCGTGAACAACATCTGGATTTTGAATACCAACATCAAGTCACTGCTTCTATATGATGGTTGAGAGACTTGGCGCGTTACGAAGGGGATTTCCAACAAACTACAGACCTTCATCAACTACTGCCTACACTGGCTCGTTACTGAAGCTCAGATGGCCAGAATAATAAGAATAAGCAAGAAGGAACTCTGGCTGGCTGGCTGGCTGTCAACGAACCAACCAAGAACCTATCACTCGCTCAAGAAATATGCACTGGAAGGAAGTGGAGATGAACTGAATTAGGCACGCACTGAGAAGATTATTCGGGGCTATCATGCGCCAGGCTAGCGAGGCACTCAAGTGGAACCGATATGGTAAGCGACGAGTTGGGCGTTGGATGCGAGGATGACATGGAGGAGATTGTGGTGGGAAGAAATGAGATTTCCTGGACTGTCGTGGATCCAGGTTGAAAAGTTTTCAGAGAAGGGAGTGGAATGAAGATGTGCTAGTGAAGCTCTATGTTCCACTAGGAACCCAAGGGTCAAATAATAATAATAATAATAATGCTGAAGAGTGACACAAAGCACGAAACCTACGCTCACGGCTCCATACCGTTTGCCTTCATTCAACTGACATCTATCAAAGTTCGTTGCGATGCTCAGTTGTCTAGTCTGGTGACCAAATAGCAAATTGATCGATCGCATTCGATCAGCACTTAGGACTTGATGAAATGAAGGTTGTTACCCTCCAGTGACCAATCAATGTAATTACCAATCTCTCAGTTCTGTACTAACGGTTTTTTTCGGTACAATGCTCACCATCAGTTTAATACTTATTCAATCAAGAGTTCCGTGTATTTGAAAGAAGAATACATCGATAGTTCTTCAACTGACACCTGTGTCAACGTCGAGTGCTGTCTTATTTTTGACGACTGTCTAGCCGTAATGGATTCAAGATGAGATCAATCTTGCAAACAAGATAACTATTTCTCATAGTTATCTAAATTGTGATGGACTGGCTGCTTTCCTTTGGTTTATAAAGATAATTCAATTCTCGTTGCATTTTATAAGATGGATGTCAATACCACAAAAATGTTCAACTTGGCACCAGTTCTAATGATACTTGTAATTTCCCGTTGCTATACACGGTCGAATTGCTCGATCTCAGTTGACAGATGGACTCTTATGCGGATCCCTCGATACTGCCGGATATTCATGATGTTAGTGACTAGCAGAGGAATCTAGAACGCGCGTTTCGCCTTAATTTATACTCATCAGCTGGATGTACCTGCATCCCAGCGAGTGATGTTGTCCCCACTGAGGCTCGAACGCAATGCCACATTCTTGAAATGCGAGAACACAACAACTGAATATCATTCCCTAGTAGATAAGTGGATAACGCTTCAGCGTTTGAGGCGAAGGGTACTTGGTTCGACTCTCAGTGTGAATAACATCACTCACTGGGGTGAAGGTACATTCAGCTGACGAGTCCCAAATAGGACAAAACGCGTGTCCTGGACTCCTCTGCTAGTCACCAAG